TTTTTCTGTTCGTATGCATATGTACATGCATGTAGGCAAAGCATTGGAGTTGTTTGTCGCGGAGTTGTGCCTTGTAAATATGTATGTACAAATTAATGTTAGGTTTTTTGTGTACATACATACCGCAATGTGTCGTTCACTCGATTACCGCTGCCATAATTTGGTTGATCTGCTGGCGCAAGTCAACCTCAAAGTCAGTCGTCAACCAAAGGGATCGCGTGAAGGACACACTGCGGTAAGTAACTCCTAAAGTATTTTCAATTATATCTTTGTAACAAGTCTTTACATCGAACAGAAATAAACCAAGTAATACGTCATTGGACTATTATTGTGTATGCGCCTTTTTTGACAACGTTACTTGCGTTAAATTCGCAAGCGGGTTGACGACAATTTCTTTATTTCGCAGTGAAATACATAATTTATTTCACTGACTGATTGCCGTTTATGGAAAGTTCTCAACGTTCCTCAGTCATCGCCTATACACATACGTACATTTTTGCACTTGCCGCCGCAAACGAACAAGAACTGTAACTATTCTTATTGGAATTACTTGTATGTGGGACTGAAAAGTCGAATTTCGCATTTGCCAGCCAGGCGAATAATTTAGCCGTATTTTATACACTGAATTAAGGAGTTTATTTGCAACTCGCATACATTTCATATTTTTATTTGCCGTTCATAAACAACCTGCCGCTTTGTTTAATCTTGCAATTAGCCGCATTGCATGCGTAAGTCTTCGTGCCGACGTCCATGATATGACTATGCGTTCACCAGTTTCTAAAGCCACTACATCTGCCTCAGTGGCCGACCCGCCGAAGTTAGTATCGGATTCCGGCACTGCTGCCGACATCATTGATTTGCCAAACACTCCCGAAGCCGAGGGAGTTAGTACTCGTGCCTCATCTGCCGCCCGCCAGGAAGCGATGTTTCAGGCTATGCAGAAACGCATCGCCACGCTTGAACGCAGTCTGAAGGTTGCCCAACAGAAAATAAGAGAACACGAGTTAGCAAACGAAGCCCAACGCGCAGATGCGCAAAGCATATCCAGTGCACCCAGCGACAGTTCCGCCAACGAATCTGCCTTGCCGTCATCGAGCCTGCCAATGACACAGTTCCAGCTTCTTCACCCGCAATCGCCGATCGTAACGAGTGCTGCTACCAATGTAGATGCTGTGCAGCCGCTGTTGCCACCTCATAACGCTACACGTTACCCGATGTATACCGCCACTCGTGTCTCGCCGCCCATTTACACATCTTCAACAAATGGTTCAGCTGTAACAACAGCAAATGGTATGTACCCCAGCTCGACTTTACCTCCGCACCACGCGTTTCTTAACAGTCTTTCGTCAACGGTGCCAATTCCTGCTAACGTAGGCTCCGTACCTGCGCAGTTTTCAACTCAGCCAAGAAAATTGCAAGATTTGCCGGAGTTTAGTGGGAAGCCGGAGGACTGGCCGATATTTTTTACTGCTTACACCGAGTCAACCGCTGTCTATGGGTACAGCTGTTTTGAAAACAACTTACGCCTGCAGAAGAGCTTAAGGGGTGAGGCCCGAGAGGCTATTAAATCGCTGCTTATCCACCCGAACAATGTGGGCAATATCATCGAGCAACTTAGGTTCCGATACGGTCGCCCGGAACAATTAATTCGAAGCCAGCTAGCCCATGTTCGAGAAATTGCTCCGATATCAGAAAGCTCAGTGGTAAAGTTGATACCATTTGCGACGAAGATTGCCAACATTTGTGCATTTTTACGTTCTGCGTGTGGCGGAGAGCAGCATTTAGCGAATCCAACGCTTCTTGATGAGCTCGTTGGAAAGTTACCCATGAGCAAGCGTATCGAATGGGCAGTTTTTGCATCGTCTTTGCAGCCTTATGCAACGGTTCAGCATTTCAGCGATTGGCTTACTAAACTTGCCAATGTCATCTGCACGGTTTACGACGGGGAAACAGCGAGAGACTCGAAGCGCCGGGTTGTGCTGCACGCTGCCGAATCACAACGCCATCCAACGTGCCCTATTTGTCAGGGCCAACATAAGCCAGCCGACTGTAGCCAGTTCAGCCAACTTACAGTGCCGAAGAGGTGGGAAGAAGTGAAGCGACGCCATCTCTGTTTCTCATGTCTCAACGCTGGACATGGATCGCGCAATTGCCAAAGGCGCAAACCATGTGCCACCGACGGCTGCAAACGGTTTCATCATAAATTGTTGCACGAAATTGAAAAAACTATCGACGGGTCATCAAACCAGTCATTGCCGCCTCGAGATCGCAACAGACGTGTTTCCATTGCCGATCCACGTAAAACGATTAGCACGCAGACGCAGCCAGCGTCGCGTATTCAGTCGCAAGGCGATACGGATGTAGCAGTCCTTAGTTGCAGTGCAAACGTTGCCGATAGCAAGTTGTTATTTCGGATTCTGCCGGTCGTGCTGTATGGGAACCAGAAGCGCGTTGAGACGTACGCCCTTTTTGATGAAGGTTCGTCAATAACAATGCTTGACAACGCACTAATTGAAGAGCTCGGGTTACGTGGCCGGACTGAACGCTTGAACCTACAGTGGTTCGGAGGACGTGCAACCCAAGAGCCAGCCGTGGTGGTAGACTTACTCGTGAGTGGTGCCAATATGCAAAAGAGACATAAACTACGAAGGGTTTATGGTGTTTCAAACCTGCAGCTACCTTCTCAGAGCCTGAGTAAAGCCGATTTGCGTTGCCATGAAAAACATTTAAATAAGCTGGCAGTTCAGCCATACGCGCAAGTCAAGCCAAAGCTGTTAATCGGACTCGACCACTGCCACCTTGGTTTGCCGTTAACCACAATGCAGCTAAACAAGTGTGGGCCGTTTGCCGCGAATACTGAGTTGGGATGGGTTGTGTTTGGACCAACAACCAACTCTTATCCGACATTGCCATCATGTTTATTCGTTAACTGCCACACTGAGCAGTCGCTACACAATGCGGTTGCCGAATATTTCGAGACGGAAAGCTTTGGGGTTCGAGCTGCGCCTGCCATCGAGAGTGAAGCTGATATCCGTGCTCGCGAAATCTTGAGGTCCACTACGTGCCGTGTTGAAGGAAGATATCAGACTGGTCTGCTCTGGAAGCGTCCCGACATACAGCTACCTGCGAGCTATGCTATGGCCTTGAGGAGATTAGCGGGTATTGAAGCAAAAATGAGGCGCGATACAAACTTTGCCGCTGAATATAAGCGCATCATGAATTCCTACGTCGCGAAGAACTACGCAAGAAAGCTGTCGCCAGAAGAAGACGCTTTAACTAACGATAGGACATGGTACTTGCCTCACTTCGCCGTCAGCAATCCCAACAAGCCAGGCAAGTTACGTATGGTGTTCGACGCGGCTGCTGAGGTGGACGGTGTGTCCCTCAATTCACAGCTCATGAAGGGTCCACAGGAATATCGGCCTTTGCCTGCTATACTATTTCACTTTCGTGAAGGAGCAATAGGCGTGTGTGGTGACATCAAAGAGATGTTCCACCAGGTGCTGGTTCAACGTGACGATAGACGTGCGAAACGATTTCTTTGGCGCAATGGTGATACCACCAGACAGCCCGAAGTGTATGAGATGCGCGTAATGACCTTTGGAGCAGCATGTTCGCCTTGCGCCGCCAACTATGTGAAGAAGATCAACGCGTTAGAGTATCGCAAAAAAGTCAGTGGTGCTGTCCGAGCCGTGAAATCGATACTGGACTACCATTATGTCGATGACTATGTCGATAGCTTCGACACAGAAGAAGAAGCAGCTGACATCACGAAACAAGTTCGAGCAATACACAAGATGGCCGGTTTCGATCTTTGCAATTTCGCGTCGAACTCGTCAAGAGTGACAGAAGCCCTTGGCGGCGACGGAGCTACCCGTCAAATAGCCAAGAAGGAAGGAGTACTGGTGGACAGAGTTCTCGGTTTGTTTTGGCAGGCATCGACCGACACCTTTGGATTTAAACTGAAGTTCAACAACGTAGAATCCAGCGTATTGAACGGAATGCGGCGTCCAACAAAGCGAGAACTCCTCAGCGTAGTCATGTCCATCTTCGACCCGCTGGGATTTCTGAGCAATTTTGTAGTGAGTGCTAAGATACTCATGCGGGAGGTGTGGAAGCATGAAATCCGGTGGGACGAACCATTGCCAAACAACGTAAACGCCGCATGGGAATGCTGGCGTAAGCAACTTTCAACGGTCGCCGAATATGTCGTTCCTCGGTACTATTTTCTAAACGGCAAACCTAAAGCTCTGCAGCTCCATGTCTTCGTCGACGCTAGCGAGGATGCCTTTGCTGCGGTGGCCTACTGGAGGTCAACCAATGCCGTCGGTGAGGTGGAAGTCGCATTTATCTCCGCAAAAACCACATGCGCGCCGATGAAGTCTTTGACGGTGCCTCGATTGGAGCTTCAGGCAGCCGTGCTGGGTACGCGTTTAATGAGCTGCGTCCGGGAGAAACACTCCTTGGACATTGATGACTGCATCATTTGGAGTGACTCCAAAACGGTAATCCAGTGGCTTCGCAGCGAACATCGGCGCTATAAGCCATTTGTGCAGCATCGGATCGCCGAGATATTAGCCGCAACTACTACCGCAAATTGGAGATGGCTACCTACCGAGGACAATGTCGCCGATGAGGCCACTCGAGCTAATAACTTTATCGACTTCAGCTCATCTGCACGTTGGACCTGCGGCCCACCATTTTTGTTACGAGAAGAGCAGGCTTGGCCGTCAGAGGGCTTCACATGCAATCATCATGAGGAAGCGGACAAGGAACTTCGCCCTAAATTCGCCCTTGCGATAGTAAGTTGTACATTTTTAGATTATAACCGATTCTCTTCATTCAGCAAACTGGTGAGGACGACAGCATGGGTCCTGAGATTCATTGACATTTGCCGCCGCCGTAATCCACCAGAACGATGCTATGGGCTGACAGCCAAAGAAGTCGAGACTGCTAAGCTTTGTTTGTGCCGTCTTGTTCAGCGTGGTGAATACGCCGAGGAGTTTCAGCAGATCGAAAGCGGCCAGGACCTACCACGCACCAGTTCGCTTATTCAACTTTCGCCTTATATTGATGAAGACGGTGTTCTTCGTGTACGAGGACGCATAGATGCTGCCAGCTGGCTCCCAATATGCTCGAGGCGCCCAATCATACTGCCGCCAAAGCATGATTTTACAACTCTGGTCACCATGCACTACCACATCAAAATGCATCATCAAAATCTAGAAGCCACTATTTGCGAGATACGTCGCTGTTACTGGGTACCACGCCTCAGAAGTTTGCTGCGCAGTGTAGTCGCCAAATGCGCCGTATGCCGCCTAAAGAAAATCCACGCCGTGCCACCATTGATGGGTCCGCTTCCGATTGATAGGCTAACTCCCCATATCAGGCCGTTCAGCTATACGGGCCTTGATTACTTTGGACCGATAACAGTAACTGTTCGTCGCGCCAACGAAAAAAGATGGGTGGCGTTATTCACGTGCCTGACCGTCAGGGCTGTGCATTTGGAGTTGGCCCATGACCTCAGCACTGACTCATGTATAGTCGCAATGCGGAACTTTATAAATCGTCGCGGCGTTCCCGTACGCATCAGGTCCGATAATGGGAAGAACTTCGTCGGTGCTGACATGGAAGCAAAGCGCTTCAGTGAAGTATTCGATTGCGATCGCCTGCAGAGTGAGCTGTCGCAAAGGGGCGTAGAGTGGATTTTTAACTCGCCTTTCAACCCGGCAGAGGGGGGCGCTTGGGAACGGTTGGTGCAGTGCGTCAAGAGGGTACTACGACACACGTTGAAGGAAAGGTCGCCACGGGAGCACACGCTCAACTGTTTCCTCATCGAGGCGGAAAATATAGTGAATTCTCGGCCGCTGACGCACTTGCCCATCGATTCCAACCAGGAGCAGCCGCTGACTCCTAATGACTTCCTTCTGGGTGAAGCCAACACACCGCAAACTCCGATTGCCAACGAAGTTCTGGAGAAGACGTGCCTTCTGCGACAACAGTGGCGTCTTGCCCGACAACTAAGGGACCATTTTTGGAAGCGATGGATAGCGGAGTACCTCCCCACATTGACACGCCGGGTTAAGTGGTGCCAGAGAACAAAACCTCTGCAGATAGATGACCTCGTCTTCATATGCGATCCCAATGTATCTCGCCGGGACTGGTGCCGAGGTAAGGTGGAACGCTTGTATACGGGAGCAGATGGTGTGGTCAGACGAGTGGACGTATGCACTTCCGGTGGATTGAAGCGACGCGCCGTCTCCAAATTGGCTGTTCTGGACGTCGAAGGTAGTGAATCGGGCTGATTCACGGGGGTGGGGATGTTGGGAACTCCTGCCTTTGACATAATTTCAATTTCATGCATTTCAATTCCATGTACTTCATTTTTGTATTTTATTTTTAATGTATTCCATTTCGATGTTCTCATTTATTTTCAAATACCTTTCATACATACATATGTTACTCTCATTATTTAGAGATACATATGTACACATATGTGTTACTAGTGCCCTATGTATCCCATGTATTTAATTTGCCGCTAA